CAGCTAAGTGCACTATAGGCCCTTATTAGAGAATAGTGGACTTAGGATATAACCACTGAATAATCTTGTAGTTTCTACAAAAAGGAAGCAAGCAAGGGCAAGTGAGAATTCACATCTTGCCTACTTTGTTGGCTAATGAGTCTAGTTATTACTCATATGTAGCACAGATATACAGGAGAGATTGTTATGGTAGAAAATACTAAAAAGTAAATGTCAAACACTAGCCCAGAAAAACTTCATTCCATTCATTGCTCTAAGTAAAAAGAAACATGATGTATCATAATTTACTTCTCCAAAAATTTTTATGCAGGTACACTTAAAAGTTTTAAGCCTTCATCTTCATTTCCCTGGAGATGTACACTAGAAAAACAGAGGAATTTCACAGACTTCTCTTGAATGGAGGAGAAGCAACACGGTCTCCCAGTAAAACAAGTCTTTTCTCACTATCATGTATTACACTAAACTCTCACAGGGCTCTGGGCTAGTGAGTGAGACAGACGTGAAAAGACAATTACAATACAACATAACAAGGATTAGAAAAGTTAGCAAATGTCAACCAAGTGCTGTATGGGTCAAGAAGCTTCAGAAGAAATGTTTGAGATCATCAGGAGAATCCTAAGACATCACTAAAGACACATCAACAAGCTGTACATATAAAATTGACTTATAATCTTTGCATAGAGGAGATAAAGAGAACTGAATCCACCAGTGTCAGCTTAGTTTAGATAAGACCACCTATGCCAGTGCAACTTTGCTGTCTATTCCAGATAACCTGTGCCCAGGAAAGATAAGATTGTAAACTAAGTTAAGCAAAACAAAACAAACAAAAAATGAGAACAATCTCTAATTTCTTTTTAAAACAGGGTCGTGCTAGGCAGGCCAGACTGGCCTTGAACTATTGCTCCTCCTGTGCTACTACACTGAGATAATCTCATTTTTTGTCTGCATAAAACAGGTTGGAAACAATAATCTGCTACCTAGACTAACAGTTTACTTCTCAAACAACAGTTGATTTATGAAGAAATTTTGTAAGGTCCTCACTTGTTATGGCCACCAATCCTAAACTATTGATTTTGCCAAGCCCAGTTAGTCTCTGTCATCACAGATGTGCCTTCAATCATTTTAAACACAGACCCCAAAGTCCTACAGATATCCTACTTCCCAGTTCTTAGACTCAGCTAAGCATATCTTACTGTACGTACTATTATATAGTGTAGTGTTGTTAACAGGTATTCTGATGATGTTTTAAGAAGTTCAACAATAACCGTTTTAATTGATGTGTACTCTTGCACAGTAGAATCATTTTTGCATGTGATGCCAAGTCTATGTTGATACTGTTAATGTTAACTGGCTTTACCTTTGGGAAGCCTAATTTAAACACACAATCTTTTCAAGAAGTCCTTTGTAACTACAATCCACTACCAAATAAGCAATTCAATGAGGTAAGCTACTAGCCCAAACTTTTGAGTTTGCATAAATATCAAACTGAGGAAATTGCTAGAAATACAGGTTTCCAAGTTCACTCACAATGACTTTGATTCACCAGGATTAGCAAAAGGTGAAGGCATACATCCATTTTAAAAAGCACCAGTTATTTCCTAATGTAGACTGTCTTTATGCCACACTTTGAGAAATAATACTCTCCTTCTTCCATACCAACAAACACACGTGTGTATTACACATTTATACTATCCATTAACTACTCTACACAATTAGAATGAAAGAGGGATATTATATACATATACATATGTAGACTTTCATTCCTTTTCAGTTACATCATATTCATAATATATATGAATTTATCCATTCCTCTATTAATGCACATTTAGATTGCTGACTTTTTTCTTGCTGTTATAAGCAGTACTACAATGAATGAATGAAACCTTACATGTTTATGCTTACACATTGGGGCTAAATTCTATGCAGAACAGAGTGGAACAGAGTAGAATTGCTAGGTCAGAAATTATGTGGTGCACTTTAAAGTTTGATAGAGCTTGATAGATCCTGATGAACTGCCCACCGATTCATTTGTATGGATTTACAGTCCCACCAATTGTCTCAGAGTTAACGATTTTCTCCATACCAATGCCAATACTAGTATTGATCTTTTTAAACTTAATCAATCTGACAGGTTTAAAAAACATATTTTAATTTTACTATATTTTTAATATCAGAATATCCAACATTCAATGAAACATAAATTAATTGTCTCAAATTCTACAAAATAGATAATGGCTTGGTTTTAGAAAACTTTGATTTTATTTTACTTTAAAACTGAACCCTACAAGAAAGCTGGGATGAATGAACTTCAAATATATGTCCACTTGGTAGTTCTTATTTACTACCTTTGTTTACTAGGTGATATAAAAGAAAAGTGAGAGTTATAAGAGTTCAAGGTTTGGCTTTGCCAGCCAGCACTTTGGGCAAGTTACCTACCCTTTTGAGAGCTTCAGTTTCCTCATCTGTAAAATGGGGATTCTACTCATTTTATAAGATTGTTTTGAGTACTAAATGAAATCAGAATTTTAGTTACAAACATTAGCCATTACTACCACCACAATAACAATGCAAGTGAAATTACCAAACGACTAAAATTATATATAGTCCTTCTTTATAAATTATAAAATAATTTATTAATTATTAATATTAACAAAGTCAGATTCTATTAGGTAAGTCAAGTATTTGTCAGGATTACTGAAGTCACTAGAAAAGTACATACTTCACAGGGCTAACATACTGTCCACGAAATCTGCTTCTGGCTCTGGTTCTCTACAAGTTCTTCTGAGAGTAGTTCAGAAAAACATTTCCTAAATAATGCAGTTCCTTAGATTGAGTTATTCAAATATATAATCAACTATACACCAGAACTTTTTTCAAGTTTCTAACAGGATCTTATTTCTAAGTATATAAAACAATGCAATTCATGTAATGCCATTGAGATTTCATAGATCCAATAAATGAAATTCTAAAATTTTATTGTAAAATAATACATTGGAGAACTTACCCTTGATTCTTTCCCTTTCATTCATTAAATTTGTAAATACCCATCATGCACAAAGTCCAATGCTAGCTATTAGGGACATACAATCTCTGTACTCAAGAGATAAACTCCTATTAAAGTTAAAAGGCAAAGAAATGTTATCTAAACTTGCCTGTGCTTCTGGTAGGATGAATAATAGCCATTGCTATTATTGTGTGGCCCTGGAACTCCTCTTCTTCTTTGGGTGGACACTTATGAACTTCTCACTCCTCATCCCTAGGCCACGTAAAGCACACAGCCGCGAATGAGATGTCATTGTCCTGTGCTTACTCACCCTCAACAGTTTTCAATGGTTCAACTCACCTAAGTCTTCCTCTTTTCTTTCTTCCTTCACATCATGACGTTTGCAAATTTTTATAACAATTTTTTAATGAATGAAATGATCTGGAAAAATATTTTTTCAGTTTTTATTTCAAGAAAACAAGAGGAAACATTTGATGTATAAAGTATTACATATGGAGAACATTTACACAAATGTACAAAACTTCAAAAAACTAAACTCCAGTTTATTTCCATAGCCTTAAAAAGGTGGGGGCACATAAAAATATCCAAAGTCATGTTTATTCTTTAGGAATGTAAACTCTAGGAATACAATTAGAAACAAGTATTTTTACTACGAGATGATTAGTATCACTATATGATCAGAGAAGTAAAGAGGTACATAAGAAGCTCCATATGAGAGGAAACAACAATACATGAAATAGATCTTGAATCTAGTAAAGAACCTCAAATTCAGACACAGGAACTCTAAATCTCTACTATAAAAAAATCTTCAAAATGTTCACTGCTAGTCTTTTTAGATATGCACAAGTTACAAAGTACAGAAAACAACATATCCATACTCTCTGATGACAAATTTAACAATATTAAACATAAATCTGAATCACTCAAAAGTGTTCAGTATAATTTCACTAAGCAACTAATCTAAACATATAAAATCATGCTAATCAAAGGACTAGAGAGTTTTAACTTTTCATTAAAAGATTGGGAAGACTCTATTTTACATTAATCTGTCTACAATGATTAATTCAGGTACCCATCAAATTATTTGTCTTTTTAAAATGTTTTAATTATTTTTCAGTTATATTATTTAACATATATTTCCTTGATGTACTTTCCTTTAATATAGATTTACTGTGCCTATAGACTCAAACATTAAATTGCTTTAAATACTAGTTTAAAATAATGTCTCAGAGCACATTTTTCTTTTATAACTTAACAGCTTAAATACTTTAGTTATATTCTTCCAAAATAGGCAAAATCCCTTAAAAGTGGAATTATTTTCATCTATTTTGGTTTATAAATTTCCTTTTGATTCAACTTTTGAAAAACAAGTAATACTTGCTGAACAGTTGCTTCACAACTGAAAGGGCAATAACTATTGCTTTTTCAAAACAAATTTTAGCTATCATTTAAAGACAAGAATTTCTGCTCTACAAGTTTACCTTAAAAAGTTCTGGTGGTATGCAGGGGACCTGAGGGTGCTTTCCTGTGGCTTCAGGGAGAGAAAGGAAGACACTACTTGCCTTGAGTACCCTGGGATACTCCCTTGAAAAATCTTCATCTCTCCCTACTTGGATTTCAGGAAACTAGTGCTGGGTCCAGCTTCATGAGAACACCCAGGCAGCTGGGTTTCAAGAGTAAAAGGTGATTTCAAGAATTCCTAGAGGTTTAAATTATAGCTCTATGGCATAGATCCTCTGAACTATGCAGTGAAAGACCCCAGTTATATGTGAAATCTTTTTCTTTATAAATGGTATTATTGTGGATACAAAGGAGGTCTGTCACCATAGCATCTTTACAGGAAAGTGACCTACAAAGTCACCTATCTTTCAAATTTGAAAGGTGAGTAGAAAAAGAGCAGTCAGGATAATAATGATTTTGTATAGCTAATGTTATTCAATTTTATAACTGTTATAAAAATTTCTAATATATAATCTTTATTTGAAATATTGCCAAAGTTAATATAAAAGAATCTTATTAACATAACTCCATGCTCCAGAAAAATCAATTGATGCAAGTCATTGAAGCAAAAATTCAGAATCACTCCACTGAATAAGCCTTCAGGTGTTTTTTGTTTTTTTTTTTTAAAGAAAGAATATACATAGGCTGTGAATTGTGTAAAAACTTAAGTATGAAAGGGGTAATCTTTCGTACTTAACTTGCAGGTATCTACCACTGATTTCATTTAAGATTAGCAAGAAAAATACAAAATGTTACTTTTTATTTAAAAAATAAATGAGGACTGCAAGGAATTTAGAATTAGAGACCTAAGAAGTCATGCATCACTGTTACTAAAAAGTTAATTAGCTGTCAAAAACGATGAAGATTATAGTAATCTAGTATCTAATATATTTGATCTAGGGCTATGAGACCACTGAAAATCTTACATATTAGACAAGCAATTCATTTTCACTCTGATACTCTCTTCTCAAATACTAATGTGCATAAAAATCACTTGAGGATCTTGTTAAAATGATTCAATAGGTTGGCTCTGAAATTCTGCATTTTTAACAAGATACCAGGTGACACCAGTCATACAAGGTCCTTGGACCACATGAGTACCAAATGGCTAGAATAATACCAAAATGGGGTTTCATTACAGTGGTAAAACATTGAAATCTGATCTTTCATTTGTGCTAGCTAATATTTCTTCAAACTTACTCTACTTGCTTAAAATACCTATCTTTTAAATTAGTTCCTAATAAAATCAATACTGTTAGTAACTATACATAGGGGAAATTCTTTATTAAGGAATTACAAAAAGGCAATTGAGAATTCACAGTGACACTTTACAATACTGAAAATTGTTCATAGGATTACCATTAAACTAATACAATATCAGCTTTCACAGTCTGATTGCCTTATAGCTTTTTTTCACAACTTATGCCAATAGATCTTATTCCATTCTATTATTGGAACTAAAAATATCAAATTCATTTATGTTAAAAAAATCACACTGTATTTAGGTCTAATGAATGAAAACTAGTTCAAGCTTTTTGAAGAACTGGGTTTAAACTGGTCAGTAAAGCAGTTATGGTCAAAACCTTATTCAGAGCATTCTTCAACACATAAACATTTTTCATATGTTTGAGCTGTGCATGTGCAGGTTTAAGAGGAAAACAGTATCATGTGTTCCCCTTGTGACCATAACTAAGGACTATGAATAAGGAAATCATTGTGTACTAAAAGTACACAAAGCCCAAGAAGTGGACAGCTTCCTCTCCAGCAACTACGCTTATCCTTAGCCTTGCTTTCTCTCTTCCATTCCCAATTATTAAGTATATTTGCTTTACAAGGAACCTCAACTTTAACTGAAATGACAAAACTTTACTTCCATCTAGGGGTCACATAGCTCCCAGAGCTACACACAAATTTGATTAGGTTCTGCTTTATCACCTTTATTATTATTACTATTATTATTACAATTTTGGTTGGGGGTAACTGAATTGTTTTTTCTACAAGAACTCTTATAATAGACCTGTTCACTAACAAATACATTTCATTTTTTATTATGTTAAATGTTAAGAACACAAACATAAACAACCCTAAATTAGTTAATATACAATGTCCCTTAGTCCATATTTCACTATTTTAATTTTCTTTCATGATATTTTATAGATGAAAATTTATCTAATTTCCTTCATGTACAGACAAACAATTCAATATTATAGAGTTGATTCTGTTATCTTGAGAGCTGTGTTATAAGATTTACAGTGATTTTCAGGAAATCTTCAGTATTGTATGAGTTACAGAAATCCAAACTAACTAGGATTTCCAAAGTCAAATCAGTTTTATGGCCTAATATACCTTAGGAATCAAAAGGGATTTTCATCTGCTGAATCCAGATCAAACACTTCAAAACAACATCATCTACCAGCAACCTGATTTTTATATAAAAATGTTCCAAAGAGACCAAGAGAAATGTACCTACCCATCTCCTGGAATCATACAATATTTTAGGTACTGAATTATCAGGTATTTTCCAGTGCTTTGAAAAAACCGTTTGAAGCTTAAAGATGATCTGGTTACAAACATTTTTATCAGGCACTTTTCATACTCGTCTTTTTTTTCACATGCCTGTTTTTCAGGGTAGCTTCCAGAAAGGCCAACTGTGGAATTCCTGCACTTGCTCCTCTGCCCCATCCTTTATGACACAGTTTCCTGATGTGGAGACTTGTTTTAACTTCCAATGGCAAACACACAGCTACCAAAATAGGAGCTATTAAAAACAAACTGACTATCTCACATGAGATATAACCAACTTAATCAGACAACCTGCCAAAATTTATTGTCACACTAGGGCAACAGTAATGAATAAGAAAGAAAGAAAAAAAGACTCAAACCAGGGCTGGAGGTGAGGCTCAAGCAGTAAAGCACCTGCTTTGCAAGCATGAAGCCCTGAAGTTAAACCCCAATACCATCCCCCTCCCTCTTAAAAAAAAAAAAACCAAACCAAGGGGGATGGGTAACAATCAAGAAATAACAACAACCATATTTAACTGACTGCAAACTAGACATTATTCCCTCATAAAGTTAAGGGAGCCTTCAGAATTTAAGATATCAGGGCTCCTGTCAGAAGCAGGCAAGAAAGACCAGGAGCACTTTCATAAAGAAGCAGTCATATTTCTAGATTCATTGGCTATAGGAGAAAACAGGTTGCAAATTAATCTGTGGACAGAGTAATGCTAATGCTAGGAGGTCTCTGCTGGCCTGCTTGATACTTCATTGGAAGTTCAGTCCTTTCTGAAACATAAATAAGCTTTTCTTCTTGAAGACTACAAGCAGAAAACCTATTGGCATCTGTCCCAGTCCCACAACCTATGGCAGATGGTGGGTTATGTGGGACTGTGACACCACTGACTTGCTCAAAGGATTTACTAAACACAGTCGCCGCAGTCTTAGCCAACCCATGGCTACTGGGCTTAGGTAGGGACTGGCTGGTGGTTAAAGTTAGTCTCTTCAAAGAGAGAAGCTCAAGATTCTCACTTTGGGCTCTCTGAGTTTGTTTTCGAGCAAAGTGATCTTTGCAACATTCCCCTGTAGTCTCTTTTTCTTTTCCTCCAGTTTTGTTTCCTCCTGACCGTCTCTGGTTCTTTCCTACACTTGTCTTGTTACTACAATTGTGACTACTGTTTGATAAACCCGACTGGCTGGTACTAGACGCAGCCCTGGAATAAAATCCCTCGTCAACTTCAGATATCTCCATCAGTTCTTCTTGACCTGTTAATTCTGTATTTCCTAAATAAAGAAATGACAAAGATTAATTAACATTCATTATCTTAAGCAATTCTTCAAAAAAGATTAATACCAAATCAATTGAATTTAAGTCAATTAAACTTTAGCATAATTTCATAAAGCAACAGATTATAGAACAAAATCAAAGGATAAATCAAAGCATTTATAAAATGTCAAAAATAGTTCATTGTAATTAAATGACAGTAACTAATAGCATATTAAACAAAATGCATGCCATAAACCATAACCCACTGTGTTTTAGAGAAAGTTTTCCTATTATGCATGCAAAAGATCAGAAATAATTAGAAAATTTGCTATACATTAAAACTAGGGGTAAACGTTCCCAAGTAGCAAAGTAATACAAAATCAAAATTCTTACCAAGGAACTTAATTTCAAAATGTTTTTTAGGATGTTACATTCTTCATTACAGATTATTTTACAAAATTAAGAAAAGATCTACACTACAAATATCACAAGCTCAAAACCTGTTAAAATTCTATATACACAATCCTTCATATCAAAGATAAAAATACAACAATGAAAAAAATAATTTTAGATACCAAAACATAAGCAGAAAATTTCTTTGGAAGCAATTTTCTGCCTCAGTTTCTACAATAATTTACTCAGAGACAACATAGGTGTGACCATTCCAAAGAGCATTAAGAGTAATTGAGAAGTTGTGATGCATAACTCATGCATTTTGATTATTAGATGACATGCAAAATTTTGTGACTGTGTAACTGTTGCTTAACATGCATCAGTGGCCCTTTGCCTTGAGATACCTTGCAGTGCAGTTATAAAGTGCTCTGCTAAAACTGCACTCTGCCAGGTGAGTTTACTCCATCCTCCATCATTTTTCTTACAGATTTTTGCCTCCTGATCTCTGGCAAGCCTTTGCTCTCAGTTCTAGGATCTGTGGCTGTTTCCTGCACACCCTGCATATGCTGAGCATCAATCTCTCCTAGTGTTCTGCCTTTTTCCCCATTCCCGGTTCTCTCTCCGGACACATTTGTGACACTAATCTCAGGAAGGACAAGGATGCCCAATTCAGTAGTATCATTATTGTTGTCAGGTTGCTCTAGAATTGAAGATGATAAGACAAAATGATGGCTGAAAACAAAACAAAATAAAAATGCAAAACAAGAAAAACAAAAGACCTCAAAACACAAACTGGACAACTGAATGTTATGAATTAAGCCAACTATATACATTGCAGATATTTCCACAATTTACAATACTCTAACAACACTAGAGACAGCAGAGCCATGGTCTTTAATTTTAAATGATAGAAAAATTCACAAAGCATCAGTTCATGTTCTGAAATTTTTCTACACATATTTTACATGGAATCTGAAACATGTTTTTATAAATGAAAATAGAATTTTATTGTTTTTAGGATAATACTGTGACTACCTGAACTTATGTCAAGCCTTAGGCAAATAGTCAAGGTTGTATAGGAAACATTAGGGACCAAGCCACTTAGAAATTCCCCTTTGTACACTTAAAACTCCATTTATTTATTAAACACATTGAGACCAATTTAATCAACCATGATATTTAGAAAACTACTTATTCACTTATAATATCATGGTAGGTAATGCCACAGGTAAAGTATCTCACACACTCATTGTCTTACATAATAGTAAACATGAATGTAGCTATGATAGAATTAAGTAGTTGATTTCTTCAGACTAATACTGATTCTGTAAATTTAAGCCATCTTATAAAAGTTCATTACTACACTGGAGTAAAACAAAAATGGATTTGAAAAAACAAACTGGCTGTCAGTCCTTTATTCCAAAAAGAGCCATTATAATTGTAGCAAATAAACAAAATTTCTAACTAGTTAATACCTGTAGACATGAATTTATTCTGTGTCTTAAATTACAAAGGCATGGTTTTATTTAAAAGCTGTCAAGTAAATATCTGTAGTAAATGGGGAAAAAATAACAAATATATCTAGAATGAACCAACAGTGAAACATTAAGTTCAAAACAACATAATACAGTATATATTCTTTAGAAAATGTTGGTCACAAATCTGCTTAAGGGCCATTACCTTTTTGTCAAGTGTTTTTTAGTGATAGGATTGTCAAACTCTTCACTAATGGTGCTAAAGCCTGAGAAAGAGTATCAGGCAGTAAAAGAATGAAGGCCAGAGTCACATATTCCTGGGGTGGTCTATCCTTGTGGCACGGTGAAATCACCTATAACTATCAGTTCCTGGCCCCACTCCCTGGCATTCTGATTCACAGTTAGTATGATATATGACCTGGGTATTAGGACTTTGAAAATTCCCAGGTGACTAATGTGCAGTGAAGTTTGGAAACCACTGCTCTCTTCTGATTCTTTTACATTTTGAAAACTTTGAACACTCCATATCCAGCATCAGTATGAACTTCAGGAGGTCCTCTCCTCAAAGTCCTTTGCCCTTTACTGGTGAGTCAATGTGCTGGTACCATTATTTCACCTTAACGTAGTGTTTCATGCATGTTTGACTAAAGGTCCTGTAAATGAAGTTTTTAGTTCATAGACAGGTAGAAGGATGTTGATGTGGTTATAGTACACTGCTGCCTTTGGGGTGCTCTCTAATAAAAGCTTAACGAGACTAAAGTTTTCAACCAAGCCTATTCCCAATTGCTAACAGCTGTGTTCAGAGTGAGGGCAAATAAATTCTTATAGAGGTACATGCCAGAGGTCACTGTAACTGAGAGTAAAATCACCATAGCACTGTTGGGTGACAGCCAAGACTTGCCCATTTATATTGTAGAAGCCATTTCACAAAAGAGTATTAAAGGGACCTTCAGTCCAAAAAGAAAATCAAAGATGGTGGAGATTATCGAGACGCAAAAAAGCAAACAAATATTCAGATTTAGTAAAAATTTAAAAGATACACATAGGAAATCTAGATAGAGAATACCAAATGGCAGTAGTGTTTTTTTTGAGAGTGTTTACATATATTACTCAATATGCTTGCTGGTGGCATCAAAACAATGTTAGTGAACCTCTGAAGTAGACCGTTGAATCCCATTTCAAAATATTATAAATTCTAACTCCTCAATTCATTAGTATCAATTTCAGTTAAATATCCTTCATCTCCCAATTAGGTTTAATTTATTTGCTTAGATTCCTGGTCATTTCACAGAAAGCAAATAATTTACTTTGGCTGAACAAAGAGCCAGAGCATATAAATTCTAGAAAAAAAATCCCACAAAGTTCTAACTCCCAAGGTTAGCTTATTTTTTTTTAATTTGGCTTTATTTTTTTTAAGAAGCCAATGAAAGTCACTGGTGGAAATATGCAAAAGAAACTACAGTGACGAATATTACATAAAGCACGACTAGGCAATGAAATTACAAATCACGTGTATCTGGATAGTCATAAAGATCTGCAGCCTAATAAGAAATGATACTAATTTTTTAAATCATGAAATTAAACGGCATGTAGAAAAATGAGATCATGTGTTTTCCCACAAGAACAAATCTTTTACTAATTAACTGACATATGCTATCACTCATAAATGGTAACAATGGAAAAATTGTAAACTGCTTATTAAACTGATAAAAAAAGAAATGTATGTAATTCTGTCCAGAGCAAGAAAGAATAGAAACATAATTCTCAGGAAAGTTACAGAGTAAAGTAATTATGTAACCCGAACAAACATTTGTCACATGATTTTCCTACTCAAGTCTCTCCCCACACTGTCTCCTGGCTGTCCTCCAGGCATGGCATACTTTCCCCTGGTAGCTGAAGGGCACCTCCCCTTACTTCCTCCAGGTCTTTTCTCAGCTTTCCTCAGGTCTTTTTCTCAGTGAAGGCTTGCCTGATCAACCCATCAAAGTTTCAAACCCCCAATATTTGGTATACCTTCTTCCATATTTTGTTTCTTCTTTTTAGCACTTATCACTCTTTAACCTACAATCATTTATTTATTTTGTTTATTCGATATAATTTCCATGAGGGCGGAGATTTTTGTCTGGTCACTGCTGCATACCTAATACCTGGAAAAGTAGCTTTTATATAGTAGGCATCTAATAAATATTTGTTTAATGAATCTTCCATTATGAGATGAAATTATTATCAAATAGTGAAAAAACATGTAGGAAACATGAGAAAGGAAAGCTGGGAACATGCTATTTTTTCCCTTTGTCCAGTCAAGTAATATACAGCTTATGCTAGTAAAAAAGAACGAAGGCTCTTTGTGTTAGAAAAGTGAAGTAGCTATCTCGAAACGCAGATTTAGTAAAATGCTAAAGTGACATCAAAAAGATTCTTTTTAAAAAATCTCATTCTTTTTTATTATGTTATCTTAAAACTCATAGCTAAGGCAATTAATCCTTTCTGTAAGAAAAGCATATAGAAGATGTTTTAAGGGAATATAAATGCATTAACAATAGAATTTGTACATTTTATATATATATATAGTGAGAACAAGACTGTATTAGTGGGTCTGAGGGAATGATGGGAGGTTAGGATAGGGAAAATGTTAGAGAATGAAAAATATTGAAACAACTCACCTACATACAAATACACTGTAACATAATACACTGTAAACTGTTGAATATTAGAGAAGGGGCATGATGACAGAGAAATAGTAAGTAATGGGGCATTCATTTGATTAAAGTACGATATATACATACAGGCCTGAATTACCAAGGTGAAACCCCCTTGAACTATCAATATATACTTTTAAAAAAAGAAGATCAGAAGGGGAAAACAGGTCTTTTCTGGGTATGGGTACCAGTGGGAGTGAGGTGAATGTGAATATGGTAGGTGTATTTTGCATTAATATATGAAAATAGAAAATGAAACGTGTTGAAATTGTTCTAAGGGCAAGAGGGGAAAGAGGAAAAACAATGGAGGGGATAAATCTAAGCTATATAAGCACATATGTAAATATCACAATATATCACCCTGCACTATTATATGCTAATAAAGAAAAACAGAATTTGTTTTCCTCAGAACTTAAAAATCTATGCAAAAGGAGTCATGAGTAATACACA